ATCAGGGTAGAAGTGTCCAGGAATTTCCCAAAAATTTCCTCAGAATTATCATTTAGTCACCTACACATGTAGTTGACCATGAGAGTATTCCCTCTCATAGCGGTGATGACCCTCGTCCTAATAAAGCGTCGAGAGTGGCGGTCTGAAAGGAAACGGTTGAGTCGAGACTTCAAATATTTTGAAGATTTGACTTCCAGAATTCAACTCAGTTACAAAGGATTGAATACTCATATTTTCGCGTGTCACACGATTTGGTGTCAAAGTATACGAAATACAACAGGAATTCCGCAAAGTCTCTCAGAACTTTCATATTGGTACCAACACACGTAGCTGACCTTGTGCATATTTCTCCACACCAATAGCTATATTATCGGAGTTTCACCCGTTTTACGCGAAGTGGTGTGATACTGTGTGAAAAAACCGATATTCGCCATATGCAGTGTTCTGTGAACTATGTTTTCCATATCACGGGTGAAACTTCACTATTAACTCAACGCGAGTGTAATACACTATCATCTTACGTGAACTCGTTAGCCTCTGACGCCCTCTCCCGGTGTTCTCAGATGATACAGTCTCTATTTTAATGATTCACATCAGTCTTATCTTGGTGCAGTACGAGTAACAATTTGCGACTCGCACATATTCATATAGACGCGTAGGACGCGTGGTATTTTGCGCGGAGTAGGCGACGTGCAACTACGTTGCAATCGCTCGTGTAGCCAAAATTAACGTCGTTAATTGAAGCCGGTATGTTTTCAAAAAGACCAGCTATTTTATTAAAATTTAGGATAATAAATTGAAAACAGTCGATATAAAATTAAAAAAACTCATTTTGGTTTGAAGAGGCCGCGAGGGACTTTCCAGACGCATGATCAGCTTGCGGTAGTCTTTGGTAAGAGAGGAATAATTCATTACCATGAGCTTCCTGCGGCCATATCTCCTCTCTAGGGCGAGCACCAGTTCGAAACAAAACGATAGAGCAATCGAATTGCGAGGTGCGCCGACCGAGGTTGTATATATCAAATGCCGAGTTAAAGACGGTTCTTGAGTGTGACAGGCAAAGGGAAATATGCACCTTTGAAGAAGCTGTGAATGGTGGGAAGAATCATGCTATTGCAAAGGGCCTTATACTGGAGGTCCATCCGGTGCTTATCGTTACTGACCAAATATTGCGTCCGGAGGTCGCTTGGTTTGGCAGGTAATTCCATATGGTATGCACTTCCGTCTACTATAACAACCACAGATTTTCCGAAAGAAAATTTCAACCCGCAAACTACAACGATGAGGCCGAGCTCAGCTCTAGCCAGGATCGTTAGTGAAGGTCCGCGAGTCTCTCAAGAACTTCTGCTTCAAGTGGCAGCTCATGTGCTCCTGGCTATTTCCCTGTGTAGGGCGGCTATGCCACTCTGAGGTATGCAAATTTTCTTCTGTGGGGCGGGTATGCCATTGTAAATATGGCTATTTTCCTGTGTAGGGCGGCTATGCCACTCTGAGGTATGCAAATTTTCTTCTGTGGGGCGGGTATGCCATTGTAAATATGGCTATTTCCCTGTGTAGGGCGGCTATGCCACTCTGAGGTATGCAAATTTTCTTCTGTGGGGCGGGTATGCCATTGTAAATATGGCAATTTCCCTGTGTAGGGCGGCTATGCCACTCTGAGGTATGCAAATTTTCTTCTGTGGGGCGGGTATGCCATTGTAAATATGGCTATTTCCCTGAGTAGGGCGGCTATGCCACTCTGAGGTATGCGAATTTTCTTCTGTGGGGCGGGTATGCCATTGTAAATATGGCTATTTCCCTGTGCTGGCGAGCGGCTATGCCATTCTGAAATATGCCTATCTTCCTGTGTGAAGCGGCTATGCCACCCTGAGCCGTGCCTATTCTCTAGTGTGTGGGGCACATATGCCACAGCTACCCCCTGATCCTACGTTGACTAGAGGTATCCACTATCTTAGCCTCGTGCATCTTCGTTGCATGCACCCCCGATGGACGTCGTCCATTGGACGATACCGAACCGGTTCGCGGAGGTTCCACGTTCGGAGGGGATGAGTGAAAAGCTCGGGATTCATTAGAGTACAACTAAAGAGAATTAGACCTCACTTGATGATGGTGACCTGCAGGTATACTCAGTGTGAGGAACGTGATAGTCAATAATACAACTATAGAATAGGAGTATCATATACCGTACTACATGATGACGACCTGCTGGAATACTCATCAAGATGGAAATACAGTGGTTCAGCTACTACATTGGGCAACCCTGGTATCATGGCGATGATATTATTATTACCACACCTCGATCATTATAGGTCAACATGTATTAATATTACTATGCATAGTATCGATAGTGTGTACGAACGAGTCATTTTAGAATTCCCACGATATCGATTCGAATCTGTGACCTCCCAAAGTTCCCGAACCATAGCCATTGACGAACAGCTCTGCCCCGATATTATAACTAAGTTCACTCGAAACGAGTTTCGATAGTCACTGCAAAAGCTCCTCGATAAACTGACTTGTATACTGCGGAACTCAGAACTTAACTTACACGTATAGGATTGGTCACTTCTTGTAACACAAATAAAGGCCCCCTGTGGGCTCACAAAAAACCTTCCCAGCAAAATCACCCCATCGTCCTGTGTTCCGTTTATGACGGCTTGTCGGTCCGAACGCGGGCACAAAACGGTCCGAACGTAGGCAAAGCTCGTAATGGGAGGTTTTATCGGGCCGTTAGCGCCCCGGGCCGCGTCAAATTTGATTTTCCCGCATCACGTCCCCTTTCCCCGCATGTAAGCCAGGCAAGCCAGGTCCCCGCAATCCCGGATAGCGGAGACCTGAAACCCCTGCCGATCAGAAGCATGTGACCCCTCACTACGAAAATATACCCTCGCCCAATTTCTCACCGTTATCGCTTAGCATTTTTTCCCAATTTTGACTGATCTATGTTGCAAAGACTACGCGGCATGGCATGCCATATACTATACAACATAGAATATATTACATAGTATACGACGTACACTGCGTAGTACCTCATGCATACGGCTCGTAGTCCCTGTCAGAGGCTATCCGAGCCGGAGATTCTGAGATGATCGAATGATTCAAGTCAGATCCTCACGACGTGATGCTCGCGCGATGTTTGCATTGTGTCCCATGGGCGCGCGCTACAATTTGTGGCGCATTAGCCGTACGGTAAGCGCCGCGTCGTCGTCTAACTGCCGGACAGTCAAGATTGGATTGAGGGCCTCCAGAGTTTGGAGAGCACACTACAGGACTTCTGTTTGATGTCGCCCACTCGCACTTGTTGTGCGGCTCGTGAGTATGCGAGTATCACTTGGTCTTCATTCCCTAGTCCAATCTCACCTGATTTCACCGTTGAAGAGGACGCACGCACTACTTAACCTGTCCCCTCGCATTAAAAGGCGTATTGCAACGGTTTGCTCGCATGCGGAGCGATGTGGAACAATAAACTCCCTTGATGCTCCGTATTGTTATCATTTTATTTACTGCTAGCGATTATCCAATAAATTACCGATAAAAATCAATTTTATTCAAGTTGGATGGGGAAAATTTTAACGCAATACGCAATGTGTAAATTCGTGAGAGAAATCATCCACACGTAGACTACGTATAACTACTCTGATAGAGAATAAGTTGTCGCAGGATGGTTTTCCTCATTCTCAAGGGACTTCTCGTCCGGATATCTCAATGTTCGGCTTTAACCCATCGAGCGGATTGAGCAAATACCGTCCGGGCGGCTCTGCTGTGGTGTTGGGCATGCAAGTGGCCCCCAATGGGCGAGTACTATCAGTGGTCACACTTGGAGGGCGAGAGGTAGGCTCAGGATAGAAAGAGGGAACGTTTTGGTGTAAAAATTTCGGTCATTCAGACACAGTTTTATGCAGCTGGCTATCAGCAACAACAGGCTCCCATGTACCGTTTGAGGAATGCAGCTTCGATGCTGGGGACGACACTCAGGGCGGCCAATCCTCGACGATCGGGCTCAGAATTGGACTCTACTGATGAGAGATCGATGACATTCACTGGGTAGTCGTAATAGTAGTCGTAGTAGTAGTAGTAGTAGTAGTAGTAGTAGTAATAGTAGTAGTAGTAGTAGTAGTAGTAGGTCCAGTCGTAGTGCATGCATGTGTCTATCAGATTGCATGCTTGGTCGGGGGACTCTACCAGGGTCTTCCTACAGCTCTCAACTCCCCATCTAGTGGCAGTCTTCCATGTGAAGTTCGGTGATGAGGCCGACTCTAAACGTGGTGACTATGATAATGATGAAGCCGATACGGACTATGATGATGAAGGAGGGACCAAGCGGCATGTGAGGTGATAATGGATTGGAACTGAGGGCCAGTTGGCACGGGAATAGTAACCATCAGGTCTCACCAACTCCGACACCTCCACTGCTCTGTAGAGCTCGAGTGTACTTTGAGCGTACCGACGGATAAATTCTCATTGATACCAGGAGCCAACCATAGACTGTTTATAATGGCATATCCAGCTGAGGCTACCTCCAGTTCGATGCTGCTATTATTAGACACGAATCATTATAGACAGCGAGCGCCCAAAGTTGACTTAGCAACGTTAAAGCGGACGGCGAGTGGTACTCTGGTTTACGACGAATACCGCTCTTTAAGCCAGGCAGCGGAGGCTTTCATGACGACTCCCCCTTCGTCGTGTAGAGGCCCCCGAGTAGTGGCCAAATGTGGTGCGGGAGGGCCTAGTGGCCTGTTGGCTGTGAGCTTGGAGGTAGAGGGCATTGCTGAGGTGTGGCTATTGAGGGATAGAGCTGATGACGACAGTGGAGTCGGGATAGGTCGGGTGCTCTCTATATCAAAACAGTGCAGCTGCCTCGCCTTGTCGGTGGATTGCCTCGCGATCGCCTTAGATGGTGGAATCATCGATCTGTACACTGTGAGGGATCCGCGAAACGCCATAGAGCTTGTTCATTCGTGTCGAGTTACAGCCTCGAGTCTTTTATCAACAGCTGAGGAGTTACCTCCACTGCTACCTGTAGATGGCCTGTCGTGGGCTAGCGACCGTGTGTTGTTGGTGAGCACAGGAGCGGGGCTGGGGGCTGTCTCCAGTCATGGGGCCAGGCTGGGGTGCTTTACTACTAACGCTTGCGGTCCTGTCAAGTTTGCTGTGGGTAGTGCGACAAACTTCTGGACATGCGTGGTATCTTCTGATGAACCTGATGTTGTGAAGTTTCCAGCAATACTCGAGCATCCATCCTTCATCACAGGTGATGAAAATGAGGTCAGTTCCCCCTCCCTCCCCTTGCTGGTCTCCCACGATAGAATGCTCCTGCCTAGAGCTAGCTCTTGGAAGCGGTGTCTTACCCTCATATGTATATGCACACGAACTGGCCCCCTAGGGTGTTTGCTGGCCGGCTTGGTCACTGGGTGTTGGTCTGTGGGGAACTGGGCTTTGCTGTGTATAGCATATTGAGAGACAAGTGGAGGCTCTTCGGTGATGTCGCCCATGAGCGTCTCGTGGGTAGAGTAAGAGCAGCATGCAGCCTAGGGGAGTATAGTGTTACATTCAACAGTGTTGGCCGATTGATGGTATGGGATATGGGAGCAAGACTGGACTACTATACGGCTAAGTTGGCCAGTGTGGAGGTCCGAGACGCTGATGAGGTACGGTCGCTAGCTAGATGTGAGGACAACCAGGTGGTTATGGCTACGTCACATGAGGCCACTACGTATGTTTTTAACGGAGTTGGGGACTTTACGGTAGGAAGGAGTGTGCGTTTTGACGCACTACCGAGCCCTTTGAGGCGAATTGAGCTTTTCCACGACGAGAGTGGAGGGATGGTCCTGTTGGCTTTGCTGAGGAGTGGAGAGCTCTTTAGAGAACAGGACAGTGGCTCGATGAAATTCCTTCGAGTGTGTGGAGGTGTCCGCTCAATTTTCGTTTTCGAGTCGACGGAGCGAAGCGGCAAAGCGTATTTGGAAATGGCCAAGAGCTCATCAACGGAGACGGGTGGCTCGGAGGAGGACGCATCGAGTTCGATATCCCCTCTCACGTACAGGGGTGGGGCTTTTATGATGCAACAAGCGGCTTCCTCTATAGGGGAGAGCAGACAGGGTGGCAGAATCGGTAATATTCTACTCTGGTGAATGAGGAATTGCGGTTGAGTATTTCTGATAGAATTATCGTAAAACGTTGTGGTGAGTGTAGTAGCCTTTGTGAGTTGAACGGAAGGTCTCAGTCGTTTCCCTGTTTTCATCCATTGTGACTGTTTTTCAGATGTTGGTCAGCAGTCAGTATCAGACCAGGTATCGGAAGCAGGTCGATCATTGGTTGTTACCAATTACCGCACTGTCCATCCCCTCCCCTCCCTATCACTACCTATTGCCAGCCGTCAAGTCGAGAATGATGGGTCCCCTCGTTTCGACCTACCTACCACCAGCGATCAGGACCCCGTCATGGTGGCTGAGCTATTCACTCCTTCCCATAGTGTTAAGTATACTGATAGAAGTGCCGAGGGGTCGACCAGTCAGTCCAAGTGCCCATTCTGTAGAGATGTGTGTATGGTGGACCGTTCGACTGCCTCCTATGATACCGACACGGAAGCTGTCTCTAGTCTGTCCTCTGTGCTGGATGCAGCCCAGATATGGATAGAAGACCAGGCTGGCCTCTCCCTGTGGATCAATGGTTCTTTCTTCGCCACCCGGGTCCCTATAGAGTCCCCTAGTGCAGCTGTTCTCTCTGTATGCCCCGGTCAGGCCTCTTTTAGAGTAGTACTACCAAAGCAGTCCTGGCGGCTGGTCACTGCACCACTGTATCATACACTACTATATCGTCTGTGTAGTGCTCCCGGCACACGTCTGCTGAGAGCAGCATATTGCCTTTCTTCTATGGTGTACTCAGCGAAGGAGTTTAGGGTTGTTTTTGAACTGCTACTGCATGAGGCGATCGATGCCTGTGTTCCTATCTTTGTAAGGATGGACAAATTGGGTGTTGATAACCTCTCTGTGGTGAAGCACCATCCCGCGGTGGCCATGCGTTTGCGTACACTCACCAACGTACTGGACCTGGTCGGCCATTTCGGTCCGTCAGCTGTGGGCTACCTCGTCGCGGCTCTGCGGAAGACCGAGCCACACGTGAGCTTCCGGCACGTGTTGGGATTGATGGATGAAGGGGGCTCAGCTAAGGTGGCTCCTGATCTCTTCAATAGTGGTCTTAAGGAGGGGCGGCTCTACCAGGCTGCGGCACTGCTACTGTTGGTACAGTACTCTGCTGGGCCTGATACAGCACGACGGGATTACGCCTTGCCGCTCCTCAAGGCGGCTCTGGATAGCGGTGATAAGGCTCTGGCCGAGCAGTGTGTTCGCTTCTACTCAGCAATGGGGTCTGGCCATCCGGTTGAAGTAGTGGAGTGTATTAGAGAACACTGTGTGAAATTGGTGAAGGATTGCAATTGGGTGGAGCTCCTCAGTTGCTTGGGTATTGACGGCACTGTGAGGGAGTTCTTGGACGGCGTTACTGAGCCAGAAATGGTCAGCTTCGACACAGTGGTCCGGTCAATGCGGAGATTGATGTTGTGTGATAGACCCCCAGAGGAGGCGCCTGGTAATGATGT